AAATTTATATGGTGTGTTAAAACAAAATATGGACATATATTAAAAAAAATGTTCGCAACACGGTTTTTATCCTCAAGAATCCAAAATATAAAATTTTCCTCTTTAGTTAAAAAATGGGATATGCAAATAGCCAAAATCAGAGGGCGCACCCAGAAAGACTGAGTCATCTGAGAAAATTCTTAAAATGAAAGGGGACTTTTATATGGTAATATGGACCTATATTGAAAAATGTTAGCATGAAGGTCTTTTATCCCCGTGGAAATTCAAAATATCATATTTACCACTTTGAGAAATGTAGCTGGAATCAGCAAATAGCCAAAACTAGAGGGCGCACCCAGAGAGACTATGTAATCTGAAAAAATTCTAATGGAGTTTAAACAATTTAGTTGCAATCTGCAAATAACCAAAACTAGAGGGCGCAGCTGGAGAGACTACGACGAAGTGAAGACAATTTTCTGATTCAGAAAGTTCTGAAAATTGTGCCGAATCTTTATATGGGGGGTTAAGACTAAATATAGAAGGTGTTTCATCATCATGGGGATGCGAAATATAAAATTTACCTCTTTGGTTAAAAACCAATCCAAAGGGCGAAGATTCTAAAAATGGAACGGGACCTTTATATGGGTAATATTACAAAATATGGGCCACTATTAAAAACTTTTTGCAAGAAGGTATTTTATCGTCATGAGATTCTTAAATAAAAAAATATATTGGATCTAAATTGACACTATTCTTTCAGGAGAAATTGTATCGTCAAGGAGATATGGACCTATATTGAAAAAACTAGCAAAGAATACATTCTTATCCCCATGAGTATGCGAAATAAAATAATTAACCAAATAGAAAATGTAATTAGCTGGGATCTTCAAATAGCCAAAACAAGAGGTCGCAATCAGAGACTGTGTCAAAGTGTGAATTTAAATCGACCATTTCTGGGAGTAGAAAATTCCCGCCATCTGTAAAAATTCTGCAAATTAAATGGCACCTTTAACAGGACAAATATTGACCTTTATTGAAAAACGTTAACATGTCTTTTAATCCCATCCAAAATATAACATTTGAAAAATTTCATGGCACCTTCAAATAGTCAAAGCAAGAGGGCGCTGTATCTCTACTATGAGGACGATTATTTGTCTGAAAAAATAGAACAAGGTATATGACAAAATATGACATGAAAAATGTTGGCATGAAGACCTTTTTTCCCCCCTGAGAATCAAAAATATTAAATTTACCACTTCGTTTGAAAATGGTTAGCTTGTACCTTCGAATAGCCACAAGCAGAGGGCGCACCCATAAAGATTATATCGAATATGGACAATTTTCTGCCAAGAGGATTTTAGCTTCAAATAACCAATACAAGAGAACGCACCCATGAAGATTATGTCGAAGTATTGACAATTTTCTGCCATGAGGATTTTTGATTCTGAAAAAAAAAAAATTTCTGAAGCATTAAAAACATATGAAACAACTGCAGTATTATGGGGATTCATGGGATAACAAGGAAATACAAAGCTAAAATGTAGCATTCTTTGAAAAATTACTCAGAATTCAAGGCTTAAAATTCCGGCTGTCTTGAAGTTTCCGAAACATGAAATTTACCACTTCGATTGAAAAAATTAGCTGAGACCTTCTAATAGCCAAAACCAGAGGACCCACCCAGAAAAATTATGTCGAAGTGTGGACATTTTTCTGCCAAGAGGATTTTAGCTTCAAATAACCAATACCAGAGGGCGCACCCAAGAAGATTATTTCGAAGTATAGACAATTTTTTGCAATGAGGATTTTAGTTTCTGAGAAAATTCTTCTGCAGTATTATGGGGCTTCATAGGATAACAAGGAAATACAAAGCTAAAATGTATCATTCTCTGAAAAATTACCCAGAATTCAAGACTTAAAATTCCGGCGGTCTTGAAGTTTCTGGCCACATTTACCAAAAGTTTTCACGGAAAAAATTTATCTCTCTCTTTCCGAAATTTAACCTGGCGTTATTCGATACCAAATCATGACATAAAAAATTAATAATTAATAATTTTGTCGCTTCCCACTCTAATAAGCCATAACCTCACATAGGTCACACTCCACCTCCCCCTCCCCTCCTCCAAACTAACATTCCACAATGGTTAACGGGTCATAATTGCCCACCACAAAAATACCAATAAATTGTTAATGACCTCTTTGGTTTGGGGTGGGGGGTAATTTGAAGAAGGAAAAAAATCTTCACCTCGCCACAGGTGCGTGGCATGCTGTGAACACATATTTTTTTACGAAGGGTAGGGGTCCATTGTCTAAAATTATATTAACAAAATGCAACTTCCATTTATGATCCACCAAAAGAAGAAAAAAAAGAGTTGCTGCCGTAGATGGCGTGTGGCGGAAATTTGACTTTCTTTACGATTCTGATAATGATCTTGTCTCGATCGTGGGGTGCGAGGGAGAGAGTGGCTAGCCAATAACTGTGATTTTATTGTTTACAGCAGTTCAGGTCAGTCGTCTCTCTATTTGTGTCTTTGGTAATAGGCTGAGGAATATCGCCACCACCACCAATAATATTTTGTATGTCTGTCTGTGTGTGTTTTGGATCCATGAGTGATTTTCATCAATCGGCTCCACATCAAATCCGTAATCTCCATATGTTGTCTGTCTGCTTGGTTGTGGTTGTTGTTGTAACAAATCGCCTTTGTGGCGCTGAGTTTATCAGTGCCAATGAGGCGCCTCATCTATCAATGATGTGGGGCAGCAACAACAAATGGCTAATGCTGATGATGAGGATGATGGTGGTGGCACTCTTCAGATGAGCTATCTGCTGGAGTTTGACGGTGTTGTTGTTGTTGTTGTCTGTGTGTATTGATTGTTTAACTCATCCAAAAAGAGAGAGATATTAATCAGTTTGTTGTTATTGTTGTTTTTATCGATCGGAACAATTAATTACTCAAGTTAATCGATTTTCTTTGGGAGGCTTTTTTCAATTGCTTCCCCAATGCCCCTTACCCATCACCTTACTGAAGCAATTCCATCAATTTGTGAGGCAAGCATTTAAAGATTAACAATTCAAAAAAATAAATAAATCGCGTCTAGTCCGTTTAGCTAAAAATTAAACATAAACACATCATCCATCTCACCAACCATCCATCGATTCCTCAATGATGCCAAGTGCGGATTGATGATCATGCCATGATTTGATTTGAATGTTTCCCCCTCCCGTTTCGATTTATTTTATGTGTAATAATTTGTTTAAATGGCAATTGGAATTTTAACTAAATTGTGATTAATTACCTTGATCTAAATAATTTTGAAATAATTCTGAAATTTGTTTATGTTTTCGTTGTTGAAATTTCAACATAATTACCATCATGCCAATTAGCGGGATAAATTAGTTGCTAAATGAGCGCATTGTATTTGGAATGATTAGGATTTTTATTATTTTTATGAGAGAATTTATCACAATTGATTGATTAACTAATTTATGTGTAGAAAAGAAAAACAATTTAGAAAATATTTATAGATGAAAATATTTTTAAACAAAAAAATATAAATTGTTGAATTTTCGGATTTTAAAAAATCCACGCCTTTGGTAACACCTTGAAAAATAATCTTTAAAAAATCCACGCCTTTGGTAACCCCTTGAAAAATAATCTTTAAAAAATCCACGCCTTTGGTAACCCCTTGAAAAATAATCTTTAAAAAATCCACGCCTTTGGTAACACCTTGAAAAATAATCTTTAAAAATTCCACGCCCTTCAAAAATAATCTTTAAAAAATCCACGTCTTTGGTAACACCTTGAAAAATAATCTTTAAAAAATCCACGCCTTTGGTAACACCTTGAAAAATAATCTTTAAAAAATCCACGCCTTTGGTAACACCTTGAAAAATAATCTTTAAAAAATCCACGCCTTTGGTAACACCTTGAAAAATAATCTTTAAAAAATCCACGCCTTTGGTAACACCTTGAAAAATAATCTTTAAAAAATCCACGCCTTTGGTAACACCTTGAAAAATAATCTTTAAAAAATCCACGCCTTTGGTAACACCTTGAAAAATAATCTTTAAAAAATCCACGCCTTTGGTAACACCTTGAAAAATAATCTTTAAAAAATCCACGCCTAATTGTAGGCCTTGAAAAATAATCTTTAAAAAATCCACGCCTTTGGTAACACCTTGAAAAATAATCTTTAAAAAATCCACGCCTTTGGTAAGCCATTGAAAGATAATTTTTAAAAAATCCACGCCTAATTGTAGGCCTTGAAAAAATATTCTTTAAAAAATCCACGCCTAATTGTATGCCTTGAAAAAATATTCTTTAAAAAATCCACGCCTAATTGTAGGCCTTGAAAAAATATTCTTTAAAAAATCCACGCCTAATTGTAGGCCTTGAAAAATAATCTTTAAAAAATCCACGCCTAATTGTAGGCCTTGAAAAATAATCTTTAAAAAATCCACGCCTTTGATAACACCTTGAAAAAATATTCTTTAAAAAATCCACGCCTAATTGTAGGCCTTGAAAAAATATTCTTTAAAAAATCCACGCCTAATTGTAGGCCTTGAAAAAATATTCTTTAAAAAATCCACGCCTAATTGTAGGCCTTGAAAAAGAATCTTTAAAAAATCCAGGCCTGATTGTAGGCCTTGAAAAAGAATCTTTAAAAAATCCACGCCTAATTGTAGGCTTTGAAAAATAATGTTTAAAAAATCCACGCCTAATTGTAGGCCTTGAAAAATAATCTTTAAAAAATCCACGCCTAATTGTAGGCCTTGAAAAATAATCTTTAAAAAATCCACGCCTAATTGTAGGCCTTGAAAAATAATGTTTAAAAAATCCACGCCTAATTGTAGGCCTTGAAAATAATGTTTAAAAAATCCACGCCTAATTGTAGGCCTTGAAAATAATGTTTAAAATAAACCACGCCTAATTGTAGGCCTTGAAAAATAATCTTTGAAAAATCCACGCCTAACTGTAGGCCTTAATAATAAAATAATATTTTTTCTTTTTTTATATTTCCAGTTCCCCCCATGACATCATATTCCGCCCTGACATCTGCTGCCCTGATACGCTTGCATCACGCCCATATGCAACAAAAAACGATGGCATCACATCCGCATTTGCCGGGCCAACCAAATTTCGCCTTATCATCCCTCCTCAATCCCATGTGTAATATAAAACCTGTTTCAACAAATCCCCATCCGATAGGTCTGCCAAATTTTCCCAGCACAAATTCCCGATATACAACAAAAGGTGCCATTAGTTTTGATTTACCGGGTATGAGGCCGAATTTAAATTGTATTTCGAATCTACGACATCATTCAATGCCATCTGGTGAGGGTCATATTCATTTCCCTTCGACAAATGTGAATTCTTCGGCGGGTTCTACAGCGGGAAGTAGTGGTAGTATATCGGCTAATAGTAATAACACACAATGCTTCAACATCCATTACAAGTAATGGGAAACGTAAGCGCTCATGGTCCCGAGCGGTGTTTAGTAATCTACAGCGCAAGGGTTTGGAAATTCAATTTCAACAACAGAAATACATTACGAAACCGGACAGACGTAAGCTGGCAGCCAGGCTGAATTTAACTGATGCGCAGGTGAGAAGCAAATTTATTATTCATACTTTTTCCAATAACCTAACACCTTCGTTTTTCTTGTTCTTTCCAGGTCAAAGTCTGGTTCCAAAATCGTCGCATGAAATGGCGTCATACCCGTGAAAATCTCAAAAGTGGCCAAGAGAAACAACCCCAGGCGGCGGGAGATAACAGCTCTTCTGCGGGGAAACCGCCAATGGAAACCTCTTTACCCCCAGGTTATTCTTCAGATTGTTCTTCAAGTTTGGAGCTAAGTGATCCCGAGGAGGATGATGATGAAATTGATGTGGTCGAATGATAGAAGGGCTTCGAATGTGAAGGAGGAGAATAGCTTTAATAAATTATTTATATTTTTTAATTAATAATAATTTTATGAAGATTGTATAAAAAATTAAAATAAAATTATAAAAAACCTTAAGTGAGATTTTGATATTATTTCAAACAATATTTTTAAAAATCCACGCCCTGCTGTAGGCTTTGAACAAATATTTTCAAATATCCACGCCCTGGCTTGTTACAGAACGATTGTTCCATAAGCCGAGCTTTAAAAAGATTTCCAAGCGCGTCGATCTTGTGCGCATCTTCTCCAATTTGAAAGACCACATTCCAAGATGTTGTTTTCTACTTGGTCTTTCCATCTAAGTCGTGGCCTTTCCCTTCTACGGGAACCATCAGTAGACTCGCTTTTATATGCCTTTTAAGTTGGGGTATTCTCATTCATTCGCACAACATGGCCTAGCCACCGTTGTCGCTGCAGCTCAATACGACTGACTATGTCCATGTCCGCATATAAATGGTAAAGCTAGTGGTTCATTCGACGCCGATATTCATCGTCGACGCAGATCGGCCCGTAGATCTTTCGGAGAATTTTTCTTTCAAACACCCCAAGAGCTGCCTACTCTGCTTGCGTAAGTACCCATGCTTCAGATCCATATAACAGCACGGGCAGTATCAGCGTCTTGTAAAGTGCGAGTTTGGTCTGGCGGGAGGTGGCCTTGTTTCTAAACTGCTTACTTAGACCATAGCAACATCTGTTGGCCATCACTATCCTTCTCCGAATTTCAAAACTGATGTCATTCGTTTTGTTTACGGCAGTACCAAGGTATATAAAATCTTTAACTACCTCGAATCTGTAGTTCTCAAGTTCCACAGTTGGTCCGAGTCTACTGGAAGTCTTGCGCGTTGATACCACCAGCTTGGTCTTCTCGCCGTTTACTGCCAGCCCCACTTTGGCAGGCTCCTTCTCACTTTGTTCAAAGGTGGCTGTTACCGCTCTCAGTGTTCGACCCATTATGTCGATGTCATCGGCGTAGGCGAGTAACATGTGTTGTTTGGTGTACAGATTGCCATTTCTGTTCACTTTTGTCTATCGAATGACCTTATCCAGCAGGATGTTAAAAAGATCACACGACAAACTGTCACCTTGCCTGAATCCTCGTTCGGTATTGAAGGGCTCCGATAGGTCCTTTCCGACTTTAACTGCTGACCTTGTGCCAGTTAAAGTTATCCTGCATAGCCGTATTAATTTTGCAGGAATGCCGAACGTAGACATGGCTTTAAACACCTCTGAGCGGATAGTGCTGTTGAATGCGGCTTTATAGTCGACGAATAGGTGATATGTGTCGATGTGTTTTTCGTGGGTCTTTTCCAGGATTTGGCGCAGAGTTAAAATCTGGTCAATTGGTGAATTTGCCAGGTCTGAAGCCGCATTGGTATAGTCCAATAATGTCATGAACCATTGGCTTTAGTCGTTCACACAACACGCTGAATAACACTTTATATGCGATGGGAAGAAGATTGTTGGCACATATCGTCTTGTTTCCTTTTTTGTGCACGGCACACAGGATGCTGAGGTTCCAATCATTGGGCATGCATTCTTTTAGCCAAATTGTACTAATCGGTTCATGGTTCATGCTCCTGGCCTTTAGCATCTTTTATGACCTCATCTTGGCTAGGTGGTATACACTATATACCATCATCTCTTATTTGTTCTGGAGTATCTTCTTCACCGTCACTATTTGAAACCAGAAACTTATAAAAATGCTCCTTCCAGATCCTTAGAACGCTGTCTGTATCTGTCACCAGGTTTCCTTCCTACTCGTTGGCAAAATGTTCGGACTAGACCTCACGTTTTTCTCCTGCTTTTCTCCTGCTTTATTGTATACTTGGTTGGTTGGTTATGGTTTTTGGTACCCAAGTGTTGCTTTTGCCGCAGTTTGTAGGGAGTTGGCAATTCTTTGCCATTGTGCTTCTATACTATTATCGGGACAAGAAGTGTTTTCGTCAAGCAGGTGGGTAAGTTGAGCGGAGTAGGCCTCGGATACATGTTGTGATTGCAGCTTTTCGACGTCGAGTTTCCGTGTTGTGTTAGATCGCACCTTTGCTGCAACATTAAGACGAGTGCGAATCTTGGCTGCTACAAGATAGTGGTCCGAATCGATATTCGCTCTCCGGTCGGACGTCTAAAACACTGGATGAACGCCTTCCATCTATCACAACATGATCAATTTGATTTCTCGTTGCTTGATCAGGCGAAATCCAGGTGGCCTTGTGTATATCGAGATGCTTCAATCTGATGCTGCTAACTACAATGTTTTTGATGCCGCGAAGTCAATCACCCTAATGCCGTTGTTGGATGTTTCTTCATGATGGCTGAATTTTCCGACAGTGGGGCCAAAGATATTTTCCCTTCCGATTTTTGCATAAATATCTCCTAGCAGAATTTTAATGTCATGGCCAGGGCAGCGATCATATGCTGTTTATAGGCGCTCTTAAAAAATATGTCTTTGGTCTGCTCATCTTTGACTTCGGTCGGACTATGGGCACAAATTCCACCAAGGCCACCTCCCGCCAGACCAAACTCACACTTTACAAGACGCTGATACTACCCGTGCTATTATATGGATCTGAAGCATGGGTACTTGCGCAAGCAGATGAGGCAGCTCGGCTTATGTAACAACCGTTCTGTAACAAGCCAGCTAAGGTAAGGTCTGCTCATCTTTGTCTTCGGTCGTAGCATAGGCGCAAATGTGACTGATGTAGAAGAACTTCGCTTTTATGCGGATTATAGCAATTCGCTCATCTACTGGAGTGAATCTGAAGACGAGGTCTTTTATTCTCCTCTTGACCATAAATCCGCAACCAAATTCATGCCTCGTTTCATGGCAGCTATAATACAGTGCGTAATCGTCTGATTTACTTACGCCTGTCCCTTTCCATCGCATTTCCTGTAAGGCAATAATATCGACTTTGTACTTCTTGAGCGCATTCGCCAAAGCGAGAACTGCACCTGTTTTGTACAATGTGCGCACATTTCAAGTGCAGATTCGCAGATCGTGGTCCTTTATACGTTGGCGGGGTCGTCAACAATTAGAGGTTTGGTTTTCTTTTTCTTTGCGTTTTCATAGTAGGACTGGGTTTTCCGAGTGTGGGAAACTAACCCAACGCCTCAACACATTTTTTTATAGTTCTTATGGGTAAACTCGCTGCACATATTAGCTCACTATTACATCGGGTGATGAAAATAGGTAGCCCTGGTGGCACCTCGGGGAGGTCAGTGTCCACAATTGAGATGAAAGAGGGACCAAGATAAGCCTGGACTTCGCCATGTTAAAGCCAATCAGAGCCGTTGCTTGGCATCTATCATTCCCTACGCCCTGTTGTAGGCTTTGAAAAAATATTTTTAAAAAATATACTTTTTTAAAAAATCACGCCTTGTAGAAGACCCTAAAAAATATTTTTTTAAAAAAATCACGCTTTGTAGAATACCCTCAAAAATATATTTTTTTTAAAAATCACGCCTTGTGGAAGACCCTCAAAAATATATTTTTTTAAAAAAATCACGCCTTGTTGAAGACCCTCATTTTTTTTTTTAAATCCACGCCTTGTGGAAGACCCAAAAAATAATTTTTAAAAAATATATTTTTTTTTTAAATCGTCTAAAAAAATATTAAAATCGAAATGAACCCTTGCGACATCTGGTGACGCATAGTTCAACGAAATATTATGAAAATGAATTTATCTTAGCCCGCAGCCAATGTATAAAATGTTATGTCAGAGAGTAGCAATAAAGACCATAGATGGCGCTCCTCCATGAAAGTTCATAATTAAAAAAAATAGTTATTTTATTTTTTTTTTTAATTTCTGGACTGAATTTTCAAAAAAAAAAATCAAAAATTAGAGAGTCTCTAAATTTATTTTATTTATTTATTTAAATTATGTATGTTCAAATCTAGAGTCCCCTAACCTACCCTCAGAATCAAAATGTTCTCAATTTCATTCAAATTTCTTGGGAACCATGACGTTCGGCGGTTGAAACCTGACGCTGGGCTATTCAAAGTCATTTCTTTATGAAAAATATTTTCACAAATGTTTACATGTGCAGTGGTTGTAATTAAACACGATGTTTACTATGAAGCTGGCGTTCTCTGCAGGTGGGTAACTGAGGCCGGGTACTTAATGGGGCCCCAAAATTGAAATTGTGAAATAAAATAATATTTTTCAGGGACTATCGAAGGCATCGATTTCAAAAAAAAATATTTTTTGGGAACGTCAGTAAACGTTGATAGTTAAACAAGTATTTTTAGAGGCTCAGATTTTTTGAAAAATATTTTAGGATTTAATAAAAAGAAGATATTTTTTCATGGTCTATCGAAAAGCGTTGATTCAAAAAAATCAAATTCCTTTTTCCCAATTCTATTGTAAATGGAAACCTTTCACCTAATCTTCCATACATTTTTTATCTGATTTTAAATATCTGATATTTTATTGAAACAAATTCCATTCTCGAATCCGCCCCTGTTGTGTTCTCACGCTGAATACGCAGTCACACATACGCTCGCTTTGCTCGAACACTTACACACACCACAACACTCTGTAATTAATTAAGGAAATTCCGCTGCTATCAGCGAAATTTAATAACCAGTTGCGGGTACTTACTGCCGAGCAGCAGTCAAAACGTCCGTCCGACAGTCAGCCAGCCCATAGAACCTTCTTAATTCTAATCTACAACAAAAGCAGCAGCAATGACAATAAGCAAAGCTAACAATAAAAACAACAATGAAAATATTAAAAATTATTAAAAACAATAACAACAAATATGATGAAAAGCAGCAGAGGCTGTTTGTCGCCACGACTCTGAGATAGACGGAATATTCACTGCTACAGAAAAATTACAATATTTCTTGAATGTCATTTCAACAAATTATATCGGACAAGTGAAAAGTAAATTTAAATAAATGGTAGGCAGAGACACGAGGAATACCCTATATGGGAAGAGAATATTCTTCGAACGTCTAACAAAGGCAGGAGTGGCGTGGGGATGGTAGATACCAAGCAACGGCTCTGATTGGCTTTAACATGGCGAAGTCCAGGCTTATCTCGGTCCCTCTTTCATCTCAATTGTGGACACTGACCTCCCCGCGGTGTCTCCTGGGGTAACTATTTTCATCACCCGATGAAATAGTGAGCTAATATGTATCGCGAGTTCACCCATAAGAACTATAAAAAAAATGGGTTGAGGCGTCTCGAAAAACCCCACCTACTATGAAAAAGCAAAGAAAAAGAAAACCAAACCCCCCTAATGTTCGCGACCCCCGTATAAAACGTATAAAAGACCACGATCTGCGAATCTGCACTTGGAATGTGCGCACGTTTTACAGAACAGGCGCAGTTTTCGCTTTGGTGGATGTACTCAAGAAGTACAAAGCCGATATTATTGCCTTACAGGAAATGCGATGGAAAGGGACAGGCTTAAGTAAATCAGATAATTACGCCCTATATTATAGCTGTTATGAAGCGAGACATGAATTTGGCTCCGGATTTATGGTTAATAGGAGAATAAAAGATCTCGTCTCCAGATTCACTCCAGTAGATGAGCGAATTGCTATAATCCGTATAAAAGCGAAGTTCTTCTACATCAGTCTCATTTGCGCCCATGCTCCGACCGAAGATAAAAATGAACAGACCAAAGGCATATTTTACGAGCGCCTAGAAACAGCATATAACCGTTGCCCTGGCCATGACATTAAAATTCTGCTAGGAGATTTTAATGCAAAAATCGGAAGGGAAAATATCTTTGGCCCCACCACCACGGAAAATTCAGCCTCCATGAAGAAACAACAGACAACGGCATGAGGTTGATTGATTTCGCGGTAGCAAAAAACATGGTTTAAGCATCTCGATATACACAAGACCACTTGGATTTCCCCGATCGAACAACGAGAAATCAAATCGATCATATTGTGATAGACGAAAGGCATTAATCCGATCGATCCGAGGAGCAAATATCGATTCAGACCATTACCTTGTGGCAGCCAAGGTTCGCACCCGTCTTAATGTTGCAGCAAAGGTGCGATCTAACACAACACGGAAACTCGACGTCGAAAAGCTGCAAACACAACATGTAACCAAGGCCAACTCCGCTCAACTTACCCACCTGCTTGACGAAAGCACTTCTTGTCCGGATAATAATATAGAAGCACAATGGCAGAGAATTGCCCACTCCCTACAAACTGCAGCAAAAGCAACATTTGGGTACCAAAGACCACCATCAAAAAATCCGTGGTACGATCAGGAGTGTCGTAATGCTACGCAGCGTATAGGGCAACCCTGCAGACAGTAGCAACACGTAATGCAATGGATAACTATCGGGAGAAAAGGAGAGAGGAGAAACGTATTTTCAGAAAAAAGAAGAAAGAACAAAAAAAAACGTGAGCGTGAGCAAATCGCGATGTACAGGAGTCAGAATGAAGTCCGAAAATTCTACCAACGAGGAAAACACCAAACCGAAGGTTTTGGTGCAGGCACATATTTCTGTAGAGATGAAGAAGGAAACCTGGTAACAGATACAGACAGCGTGCTGAGGATCTGAAATAAGCACTTTGAAAACTTCTGGTATCAAAAAGTGGCGGTGAAGAAGATACCCCAGAACCAATAATAGATGACGGTATAGAGTATATACCACCTAGCCAAGTTGAGGTCAGAATAGCAATCAATCGGCTGAAGAATAATAAAAAGCAGCAGGTGCCGAAAGGGTTACAAGCCGAACTATTCAAAACTGGTGGTCAGATGCTGGTCAGGAGCATGCATCAGCTGATTAGTACAATTTGGCTAGAAGAATGCATGCCCAATGATTGGAACCTCAGCATCCTGTGTTACGTGCACAAAAAAAGGAGACAAGACGATATGTGCTAACTATAGAGGAATAAGTCTCTTTCCCCTCGCATATAAAGTGCTATCTAGCGTATTGTGTGAACGATTGAAGTCAATGATCAGTGACATTATTGGACCCTACCAATGTGGCTTCAGACCTGGCAAATCCACCATTGACCAGATTTTCACTCTGCCCCAAAAACCCACCTACTCGTCGACTATAAAGCCGCATTCGAATGCCCTATCCGTTCGGAGGTGTATAAAGCCATGTCTGCGTTTGGCATTCCTGCAAAATTAATTCGGCAATGCTGGATAACTTTAACAGGCACAAGATCAGCAGTTAAAGTCGGAAATAACCTCTCGAAGCCATTTAATATTGAACGAGGTTTCAGACAAGGTGATAGTTTGTCGTGTGACCTTTTTAACATTCTGCTGGAAAAGGTCATACGAGAGGCAAAAGTGAACAGAAATGGCACTCTGTACACCAAACAACACATGTTACTCACCTACGCCGATGCCATCGATATAATGGGTCGAACATTGAGAGCGGTAACAGCCACCTTTGAACAAATTGAGAAGGAGTCTGCCAAATTGGGTCTGGCAGTAAACGGCGAGAAGACCAAGCTGATGGTATCAACGCGCAAGACGTCCAGTAGACTCGTCGGACCAACTGTGGAACTTGAGAACTACAGCTTCGAGGTAGTCAAAGATTTTATATACCTTGGTACCGCCATAAATAAAACTAATGACATCAATTTTGAAATTCGGAGAAGGATAATGATGGTCAACAGATACTACTATGGTCTGAGCAAACAGCTCAAAAGCAAGGCCACCTTCCGCCAGATCAAACTCACACTCTACAAGACGCTGATACTACCCGTTCTGTTATATGGATTTGAAACATGGGTACTTACTCAAGCTGATGAGGCAGCTCTTGGAGTATTTAAGAGAAAAATTCTCCGAAAGATCTATGGGCCGATCAGCGTTGACGGTGAATATCGCCGTCGAATTAACCATGAGTTGTACCAGCTATTCTCGGACATCGACATTGTTAGACGTATTCTCCGAAAGATCTATGGGCCGATCTGCGTTGACGGTGAATATCGCCGTCGAATGAACCATGAATTGTACCAGCTATTCTCGGACATCGACATTGTTAGACGTATTGAGGTCATGTTGTGAGAATGGATAAAGATGCCCCAGCCCAGAAGGCATATAAAATCGAACCAGCTGATGGCTCACGCAGAAGGGGAAGGCCAAGAATACGATGGAAAGATCAAGTCGAAGACAACATTGCCGAAAATGGTTTTTCAAATTGGAAAAACTGCGCAAAAGACCGACGCGCCTGGAAATCTTTTCTAAGCTCGGCTTATGGAACGAAAGTTCTGTCACAAGCCAGCTAAAAATTATTTTTGCATGAGATCTTAATGCTTATATTTCTATTTTCAATTATTCATAACTCATTTCAATATTCGCCCCTCTTCCACTTTGTCTAGCATCTCTAAGCAGGTTAAGCTGTTTAGCTAGTCTCTAGCGGAATCTCTGCAGCCATAATGACTCTAGACCGGTAATTTGTTTATAATCGATATTCGTAATTATTTGCAAAATAAAAGCTCAAGTATGAGTCAGTCTGAAGAAGTAGTTTGAGGTTCAGCATACATGATATACGGCAAGGTGGATAAAGGTCAAGGTCAAATAAAAAATAGTATCAAAGATATTTTATTTAAATTGAAGTCTAATGGAAATATTTAACCTAAGGTCTGTTCGGTCTTCCTAATAATTTTCAATATTTCTTCACACACCTCCGAACTTCATATGTCCGACTGTAGCGTACCCTGGGCACACTGTTGATATTTATTTACATACATTGAACAAGAAACCCCTCCATTCACAAAAATACTCGGAGGCCAGCGCAGCCGCCGTCAGCAGAGCAGAGAATTGTTTTTAGAAGTCTCGAAAAGCACGAAATGACATTGACAATGCTTTCAGTCAACAAACGGCTGGTAGTAGACGATCGCTTCAAAACGCTTAACAATCAATAAGAAAAATAGTGAAATACAAATTTGTAATAAATGTGAAGCTGCTGTGGCGGCGCCTAAACGAAAATCGTGAACATTTCTTTACGAAAAGAAAAATAAAAACAAACAAAGCCCCCAAAAATGGGCAATGTGCAGACCCGCAATTTCGATGCCAAATGTATACCACAGCGACGGGGTAGCATGTATTGGAGTTTTCGTTACTCCTCGACGCGTCGCAATCGGGATGCCAAAACAATGACTGTTTTTAATTCGAAAATGCCAATATCGGAATGGTTGGATTTGCTCGATTTGAGGGAATATGAAAGTGGGTCCGGAGTGTGAATTTTCTAATGGGGTGTTCTGTTTATAGTTGTGTGTGTGTTTTAGATATTTTTCAGGCCTACTCCTGTGTAGATGATTTAATGGATTTAGATGATGCCGAGCTCAAAGAAATGGGGGTACGCAGCGGCGAACATCGTTCGAAAATGTTGTCGAGTTTGGTAAGAGTGCAGGCCAAACGAAGGCAGTCGGTGAATATTGAAGGTAAGATTTTTAAAAAATATTTTTTCAAGACGTGGATGTTTTAAAAAATATTTTTTCAAGGCGTGGATTTTTTTAAAAATATTTTTTCAAGGCGTAGATTTTTTTAAAATATTTTTTAAGGCGTGGATTTTTTTAAAACATTTTTTCAAGGCGTGGATTTTTTTAAAACATTTTTTCAAGGCGTGGATTTTTTTAAAACATTTTTTCAAGGCGTGGATTTTTTTAAAACATTTTTTTTCGAGGCGTGGATTTTTAAAGAATATTTTTTCAAGGCGTGGATTTTTTTAAAACATTTTTTTTCGAGGCGTGGATTTTTTAAAGAATATTTTTTCAAGGCGTGGATTTTTTAAAGAATATTTTTTCAAGGCGTGGTTTTTTTAAAGAATATTTTTTCAAGGCGTGGATTTTTTAAAAATATTTTTTCAAGGCGTGGATTTTTTAAAAATATTTTTTCAAGGCGTGGATTTTTTAAAAATATTTTTTCAAGGCGTGGATTTTTTAAAAATATTTTTTCAAGGCGTGGATTTTTTAAAGAATATTTTTTCAAGGCGTGGATTTTTTAAAGAATATTTTTTCAAGGCGTGGATTTTTTAAAATTAATTTTTCAAGGCGTGGATTTTTTAAAGAATATTTTTTCAAGGCGTGGATTTTTTAAAGAATATTTTTTCAAGGCGTGGATTTTTTAAAGAATATTTTTTCAAGGCGTGGATTTTTTAAAGAATATTTTTTCAAGGCGTGGATTTTTTAAAGAATATTTTTTCAAGGCGTGGATTTTTTAAAGAATATTTTTTCAAGGCGTGGATTTTTTAAAGAATATTTTTTCAAGGCGTGGATTTTTTAAAGAATATTTTTTCAAGGCGTGGATTTTTTAAAGAATATTTTTTCAAGGCGTGGATTTTTTAAAGAATATTTTTTCAAGGCGTGGATTTTTTAAAGAATATTTTTTCAAGGCGTGGATTTTTTAAAGAATATTTTTTCAAGGCGTGGATTTTTTAAAGAATATTTTTTCAAGGCGTGGATTTTTTAAAGAATATTTTTTCAAGGCGTGGATTTTTTAAAGAATATTTTTTCAAGGCGTGGATTTTTTAAAGAATATTTTTTCAAGGCGTGGATTTTTTAAAGAATATTTTTTCAAGGCGTGGATTTTTTAAAGAATATTTTTTCAAGGCGTGGATTTTTTAAAGAATATTTTTTCAAGGCGTGGATTTTTTAAAGAATATTTTTTCAAGGCGTGGATTTTTTAAAGAATATTTTTTCAAGGCGTGGATTTTTTAAAGAATATTTTTTCAAGGCGTGGATTTTTTAAAGAATATTTTTTCAAGGCGTGGATTTTTTAAAGAATATTTTTTCAAGGCGTGGATTTTTTAAAGAATATTTTTTCAAGGCGTGGATTTTTTAAAGAATATTTTTTCAAGGCGTGGATTTTTTAAAGAATATTTTTTTTTAAAGGCGTGGATTTTTTAAAGAATATTTTTTCAAGGCGTGGATTTTTTAAAGAATATTTTTTCAAGGCGTGGATTTTTTAAAGAATATTTTTTCAAGGCGTGGATTTTTTAAAGAATATTTTTTCAAGGCGTGGATTTTTTAAAGAATATTTTTTCAAGGCGTGGATTTTTTAAAGAATATTTTTTCAAGGCGTGGATTTTTTAAAGAATATTTTTTCAAGGCGTGGATTTTTTAAAGAATATTTTTTCAAGGCGTGGATTTTTTAAAGAATATTTTTTCAAGGCGTGGATTTTTTAAAGAATATTTTTTCAAGGCGTGGATTTTTTAAAGAATATTTTTTCAAGGCGTGGATTTTTTAAAGAATATTTTTTCAAGGCGTGGATTTTTTAAAGAATATTTTTTCAAGGCGTGGATTTTTTAAAGAATATTTTTTCAAGGCGTGGATTTTTTAAAGAATATTTTTTCAAGGCGTGGATTTTTTAAAGAATATTTTTTCAAGGCGTGGATTTTTTAAAGAATATTTTTTCAAGGCGTGGATTTTTTAAAGAATATTTTTTCAAGGCGTGGATTTTTTAAAGAATATTTTTTCAAGGCGTGGATTTTTTAAAGAATATTTTTTCAAGGCGTGGATTTTTTAAAGAATATTTTTTCAAGGCGTGGATTTTTTAAAGAATATTTTTTCAAGGCGTGGATTTTTTAAAGAATATTTTTTCAAGGCGTGGATTTTTTAAAGAATATTTTTTCAAGGCGTGGATTTTTTAAAGAATATTTTTTCAAGGCGTGGATTTTTTAAAGAATATTTTTTCAAGGCGTGGATTTTTTAAAGAATATTTTTTCAAGGCGTGGATTTTTTAAAGAATATTTTTTCAAGGCGTGGATTTTTTAAAGAATATTTTTTCAAGGCGTGGATTTTTTAAAGAATATTTTTTCAAGGCGTGGATTTTTTAAAGAATATTTTTTCAAGGCCTAACACAAGACGCGGATTTAAAGGTCTACTCCAAGGCATGGATTTTTTCAAATAGTAAACCAAGTAAAGGTCTACTCCAAGGCGTGGATTTTTTCAAATAGTAAACCAAGTAAATGCCTACTCCAAGCCTTACCATGTAAAGGCCTACGCTATTATTTTTTCAAAATATTTTTAAAAGTGCTATCGATAGGCCACGCCTTGTTGTAGATTCTAAAAAATATTTTTTTTTTTAAATCAACGCCTTGTTGTAGATTTTAAAAAATATTTTTTTTTAAATCCACGCCTTGTTGCAGATTCTATTTTTTTTAAATCCACGCCTTGTTGCAGATTCTATTTTTTTAAATCCACGCCTTGTTGCAGATTCTATTTTTTTTAAATCCACGCCTTGTTATAGATTCTAAAAAATATTTTTTAAAAAATCCACGCCTTGTTGTTGACACTAAAAAATATTCCGGATTCCGCATGATTTCCCCTATATTATATAGATCCAAAGCTCTGAGACGTTGGCAACCTATTATTATACAAATAGTATTTTTTTACATTTTATTTAATCATTACAATTAGGGGTATTTGCGAGGCGAGCGTTCCAGCGAACGGTTTATAATCTATAAACAAATTTATCTTACCACTGGTATCTGTAATTGGCTTTTGTTGTTCTTATTTTCAGCTTCTCGCAACAGTAGTTCATCGCCACTTCAATTGAAACGTAAGAATTCATGTCCGGCCATTCGCATGTCACGCGGTAGCATTTTGGAACCAGATTTGGATAAATCGATTTTGCGAAATTCCAAAAAAGAGAATCGGCCCAAGGTTAATAGTCCAGAGGAAAAGAGGAGATTTACATTTGGTGAGGCGGATATAATGTGAGTAAACACTATTAGGATTTTTCCATAAAAAATACACGCTTATAGGGGTCCATAAAAATATTTGAGAAAATTTCAGGCTCATAACCGTTAAACCAATTTTTTTTTGAATTTTCATATTTGTATCTACTCTTAGAGCTGATCGGTAAAAATATTTCCCTTTAAATCGCGCTTATATGTGATCCTCAAGAAACTATTTTTAAAAAAATCAAAATTTACCTAATTCCTTTTACTCTAAGACATCAATTGTCCTCACATGATACCTTCACCAGATCAGAGAGCCCTCCACTTAAAAAACAAAAACCCCGACACTCAAAGAATCCTTAAAATATCAAACATTACCCATTGGTTGTCACTCCCTCCTCTTCCTTCTCAGTGTAATACAAAAAACTACAATTCATCCATCCATAGATTAGTATCCATTATTTTTTTGTTTCTTACCCTGCAGAGGATCATTACATTCTAAAGAAACAATTTCAAATTTTCAAACAAAAACAACGGCTGATGGACGACGACACACTTGACAACTCATTGAGTTGTAAATAATGTTGCATTTTAAAGGAACGCAGGACCGACCCGTATTACAACAAAATATGACAGCAACAACAACAAAAATCCAAAGAAACCATTAAACACACACCACCGTGTCCGTCCACCAGCCTGTCAGTCATCATTTGTTGATGGTGGGACTATCGGTGATGAAAAGTCATAACAAAAGATTTGCGCATGCCTCGGAGGGAAAAAACTGTTACATACACCGTTGTTTTTTTCTCTCTCTGGCTCCTTTGTGGAACAAAAAGAGAGAGAGAAAGAAAATAATGCAATGAAAGAGAGAGCCGTTATTTTAATCCCACTCTCTCTCTCTCTCTGTAATTTGTTTGTGTTATTTATCCGGCAAAAGTGCAATCAACCAAAATGAATACCATAGATGCTATGACATAGAACTTGAGGGTTGAAATTTCAACAAGGCTCTGCTGTAGCAAGAATTTACTCATCTGTAATGTAGATATACGAGGGGTAATTTAAGAAATGGTTAAGGATATGAGACTTTAAAGAAGCATCAATGAATGAATTTGCTGTCAAAGTGAATATCTAAGGAATTGACATAATGTCACATTCACTTAAGAATTTTGTATTTTCTACAATAAATTAAAATTTTCCGCCTATGGGCCATAAAAACGGCTTAGGTCTTTCATATACCAAAATGAGACCTTTTGGTCTTATATAGGTTAAATAAGAACCCGCGGGTCTTCTGTAGACAATAAATAACCTATAAGACTTTCTCTGAATATAGAAAAGTCCTAGATCAGACCTCAAAATATCCCGAACTACTTAAAACAAAATCGATATCTACATTATATCCTTACTATCCTAACTAACTATTCATAGTATCCTAACTGCACTCTAACTAAAATAGGCCACTCTAATTATAAACTAATAATTCGTAATAAATAATAAGACGGTGGTCTTATTTCCTATTCGGCTAAAAAATAAGAGAGAATCGCTTCTTGATATATGAAAAGATTCTCATGTTCTTTTAAGAGTCCCAACAATTTTTAAAATTACGATCGACTATCTGAATCGATCTAGATATGTGTATCAGTCCGTCCCTTAACTACTTAAAACAAACATCATATCCCCTTTCCGACTCAAGATACAGGCTCTCCATAGTCCCTTAACTTTACACTAACTATAATAGGCCACTCTAACTTATAAACGAATGATCGGAATAAATAATAAGATGCCGATCTTAATTCCTATTCAGCACAAAAAAAAGCGGAAATTACTTCTTGATATTAGAGAAGATTCTCCTGTTCTTCTGGGAGCCCTAGAGTTTTTAACGCCACGAACAATTAGTCTTAGACCAGTGGTGGGCATAACAAAATTGAGCGTAAGTGTTGGTGAGCGTAACTGAGTTAGGGTAGCGTGTATGGCCGAGCATGCTTGTCTTAGACCCACATTTTATTTATAACTATCGTCTAGCTGAATCGATCTAGATATATGTGTCAGCCCGTACCTCAAACCATTATAACTTACAATCAATCTACAATTACCGATTGCCACGAACTTTGAATGAACTATACATTTAGGCCAATTACTCCTCCTATAGTTTTTGATAATGATTAACATTGAGGGGATACAATTCACCACAGATTACAATTATGATACAGACATCACTGAATTGTACACGAGGAAGATGATCTGGCCAACGAATAACCAAGACTTTTTGATGATTATTGATCAGTACTTAACGGGTCAAGTGGGCCTATTAATGACGTATAAGTTCACTGAAAGGTATCATGATCCCAAGAAGTTGCCAAAGCATCCAAGAGCAGCGTTGCTATACGCTGGTATAGCTACCATCCCGAAGCTATACCCAAACGTGAACTAATGGTACCGATCCATCTTTGTGCATAGCCCCATTATGGCTATTTTGAGAGTCCTAAACACATTCTCCAACCGAAGTGGATATACCTTGGGGTTTCGAGTTCTTGATGTGCATAATCTTCTTCGAGTAGTATGTTCACATTCGGACCCATTTTGATTATTTTTTAGGTTTTTATTGCCCTACTTCAAACGGACTTCTTGAGTGTCGGTTATCTTATCATCGGCACCATCACTTTTCTGGCTAAGTATTTCTCCCTGGTTGCTTTTTGCGGTTTCCTTCTTCTCCACACCTTTTATTCAAATTTTGAAGAAGACAATGGAGACAATGAAGAAGACAAGCCCACAACAAGGAGAGTCCTTTCTTCGGTCTCCTTCCTTTGGACGATTTCTCAATTCCTCAATAGCAGTGTTCAGTTCAGTAGACCAACGACTTCTAGCATAAATTCTGACCGTACGTGAAATCGCTGAGTTTGTCTCACCTGCGAAGATAATGCTAGCCACTAACTTTCCCACGGCTTTAATGTTTGTCACCGTTTCAAACTATAGAATCTAATAGTTCCTTTTAAATTAACAGGTTGACCGCATCCAACACCTCTTTGTGGATCTCCATGCACCATACGTCTCCCATAAGGAGAGTCTCTCATCGTTCTCTTCCTTTGGAATAGTTCCCACTTCTTCACTAGCAATGTTTAGTTCAATAGAATCAAGACTTCAACATAGCAAGACTTTATAGCACCTACGCCTAAGATGCCGGTTCCTTACCCTTATTCTTTGTCACCTTCCAATTTCGTAAAGTTCGATGGTTTCTATTGGGATAACCAGGCGCTTGAAAGATTCTGAAGCTGTCATCGCCTTCTTGATACTATAGCCAGTACTACCAGCCTCAGTCAATGAATTCTCGAGATAATCTCTATTGTCATTGGCATGACAATTGTCCGACGACATGAAGCACTTATTCTTCCTAGCGGGTTTGGTCTTCCGGAAACCTTTCTCTGGTTCGACATAGCCAGCTTTCGCATTTGCATTCTATATAACTGCTTCTTTCTTGTCGTGATCTTGGCAGTCCCCTTGAATTCACAGCTAAACAGATCAATATGGCTCCCTTTATGCAAGTTGAGCACACTCAAAACCTATCTGTGAATCTCCTTGCCGGACAAACTCTTCTCATCGATCTCTGCGTAGCAATGCTCGCCCTGATTCCTGGTTACCTTCAGATAAATTGTAAAGTCCGGTGGTTTATTTTGAGATTCCCAGACGTTACGGCTACGATCGTCTTTTTGATACTATCAATGAATTTTCATATCCGACAGCGGGAAGCTCATATTCATATTCAGTTTTGTTATGCGCCTGTTCCTCGAGGAAATGGAGGGAAGAACAGGTTTATAATCATGGGTTTCGGTCTCTGCGCTCGATGTAATTGCTTCTTTTTAGTTTTTAGCTGAACATATCAATAGGGTATCTCGTCGATCACTGCTTAGCAACCTTCGTCTTTGTAGTGCTCGGTTTTAACTTTCACTTCTTGAAGTCGGGCTGTTCCTTTGGGAGTCCACTACGAGGTTGCCTAGTTTTTTGATACTGTAGCCTTTATTTCAATCGTCATAGAGTTCTTTAGGTTTGGTCAGCTCTTCATATCCGACGACTGAAAGCTATTTTGCTTCATTGCAGTTTGATGTTCGTCTGCTCTAACATACATACTCCTCTTAGCCGCTTCCGAGGAAAAAAGGGAAAGTATTTCTTATTTCTCCGATTCATCCTGTTCAGTTTCCGCTTTTGTGCCACAGATAATTGTTTATTTCCTGTCGTGGGCTTGACAATGTCCTTAGTCACTTCTTTTTTCATCTTGTCTGCCTTTTCACTCCTCCAACATACATATACGGTTATGTCAGATTCGCCTCCATTTTCCAACTTGGAATATGTATTCGAAGGCGCCTCTAAAAGTTTGTTCACGATCGTAGGTTGCTGACGGAAGCTGACTTGTAGCCAGAACTGGGTGCAATCCTTCCTGAAACGGTACCGTAAAATGAACTAGTTCATTCAGTTAGTTCCATAGTTCCCTTTAGTTTACTCGTTCATTAGTACACATCAGTTATTTGGACAATGAACAGAACGATGTAGATGGATGATTGAATAAAAGGCACTAATTGACACCACATGTAAATAACTGATCATATTCTTCAACAACCTCCTGGTTATGATCAATCCACCGTCCTCCTATCCGCAACCAGGAGCCGCGTTCTCTAGGAAACTAAAGACTTTTAAAAAAGAGAAAAATCTGTCCATAATAATTAAAAAATTGGAAATATTTATGTTTCGATATTAACAAATCGTTGTTACATCCCGACCTTTTTTCCCCTTGCACTTTTCTTACCCACCCTCGTAAATGTAATGTTCCCTGCATTCTTTGACAATAAGGGAGTGTAATGTCCTTTTTATGCAACTGTTGTTGTGTTCAGATGTATGAGAGTGTGCTGGTGTGTGTGAGTCAGATGGAAAACCAAAATACAATATCTGAACAGCAACTCCGTGCTATTGGAGAATAAAAACAGATTGAAAATGCATGTTCTGCAGGACACAATTCCTCAGCGCTGATATTACGGTTATCGTACGGTGGTGTTTTTGTTGTTGGTGTAGTGCAAAAAAGAATACGTTACAAAAAGAGTAACAAATGGATACGGCTTTTAATGTGGAAGAGAATCACAAGAGAAGAAATTGTCGATGAAGAAGAAGAAGCTGAACATACAGGAAAAAATTATCGAAGTTAAAAAAGGAAATTTCTTGGGCTGGGCCGGGCGTGAAAAAAGTGAAATGTACGGAGTTTTTTTAAATTAAAAAGGGGAAATATTTTTAAAAAATTGGAAAAAATAATTTTGAAATTCCAAGAAGTGAAGGAGTGAATTTTCGCCAATAAAAATGAAGTGAATTGTGCAAAATTTTGAAGATTGAAAACAGAAGTAAGCAAAGTCCTTTTTGAAGTGTGTGGTAGATACATATGGAGCAGAATAGATTTTTAAGGAATATGAAGTGAAAAAAATTTATTTAAAATTAAAATTGAATTTAAAATAATTAAAAATAATATAAAACCTGAATCCCTTTGCAAAAAAAAAATATAACCCGTATATTTTTTTCCCAAAATTGTTTTCAGTTATGAAGAACTAAGACGTCGCAACAGCACCAGTTCCGACAAGGTGGAAACAAAACCAGAAGACTCCATTCAAAATACAACGACCACGACAACTCCATCAACAGCCAACATGGATAATGAATCCTCTTCATCAGGCGTCGGCGGCGGAGGTGGCAATACCGGTTCCTTTAGCCAAACATCATCGCTGATTGGTGCCACCCTGCCACCCACCAACGAACAACAAGAGGTTATGGCATTGAAAAAAGCCCTTGAATGGGAACTAAGTTTGGATTCGCGAGATTTACGTTCCCATGCCTGGTATCATGGTCCATTGCCACGACAGCGTGCCGAAGAGATTGTACAGCGTGAAGGAGATTTTCTGATAAGAGATTGTACCTCACAGCCGGATAATTATGTACTAACGTGCCGCACTAAAACATCTGTTCTACACTTTGTTATCAATAAGGTGAGTTTTATGTGTGTTCGGAATGGCACAACAGTAACCAAACAATAAACAGAGAGAGAGGGGGATGGGAAAATATGAAAGGGATTTTCTTAATGGAAGAAGATTGAAATAATCCTGAACAGAGATATGGCACATATTTTGAGATAAGAACTAATTACAGGGTGTGGATGTGTGAGGTTGCATAAATTTGAAGATTTTTCATGGGTAGTCCTCACAAAGAACTATTTTCAAAAAAAAAAAAATCAGAAAAATATTTTTCAAAAATCCACGCCTTGTGTGGAGACCCTAAAAAATAATATCTAAAAAATCCACAACCTTTTTTCCAGATATTGGTCCAACCGGAAACAGTTTATGAGAGGGTCCAATACCAATTCGAAGAGGATGCATTTGATGCAATTCCAGATCTCATCACATTCTATGTGGGATCGGGTAAGTTCCTCAGGTTTGATAAATATTTCAAAAATTATTAAAACTATGTTTCACCCTCCAGGAAAACCCATATCCTTGGCCTCGGGGGCTCGCATCCAGTATCCTTGCAACCGGCATTATCCTCTCTCATTTTATGGCCATAAAATTGTGGGCAATCATTTGCACTCCCAAATGTTGGCCGGTCTAAGGGGTGTCAGTCCCCTTAACTCACCATTGGCAGCCAATGCAGGATTCCGTTTCACCGGCACGCCAATGAATGCCCAGCAGCAACAACAACAGCAGTCCCATAACATTTTACAGCATCAACAGTCACTACCCACCTCTATTGGTGGCGGGGGAGGCCACATGGCGAAGCAACCCGATAGTCCCATGTCTTCACCACCACGAAATAAAATCTATCCAGCTCCCCGGTTACCCTCTAAGAAGCAGCGTTCTCAAAGTCTGACCCCAGCCCAAGCCATTGTGGTATCGAATATCAAAAATGCCGAAGCTGGTAACAGTGCAGATGGTATGATCCAGGGCGGAGCTTCGAGTAATGGAGAAAATGGGTTCTCCACAAATGGTGGTGGTTCCATGAGTCATCTGCATCAGAATTCGCAACATGGTTATCGTTCGGAAGCCATGGCTGTCAGGCGATTCAATCAATTGGAGAAAAGCAATAGCGGCTGTGGTTCACCAAATGATGGGGGAGGAGGTGTCCAGCTACATAACCACTTGGAGAACTTGAGTATCCATGGCAAAATTCCGGCAAATGGTTTCCAAACCATTGCCCGTTGTACCATGGGCGATGTGGGGGAGCATCCACATGCCAAATTTACCACACATTCCTTGCCACGACCAGCCACCAATAGTTTCCGTGGTAATCTGAATCGTACCTCTAGTCTGGCTAGAGATTTTAATGTGGATGCCTCGGCGAATATGTTCTCGAGTTTGGAGATAAGTAAGATCCCCGAACTGCCAGAGAAACCACCAAGTCCACCACCAAAACCCAATCGCAATAATGGTGGGGGAAGCATCAGCAGCTTGGCAAGGTTACCCAAAGATGTGGGTGGAGGTGGTGGGGTTATATTGGATCAACAATATCCCTTGCAGAGGCAGGGTGGAGGTATGGCTGGCATATATCAGTTGAGTGGTTCAGATTCCGGTAATGGTTCGGGAGATTCTATGCCGGGCGATATGAATGAATTCATAATGCATCGTGGGGTTATAATAAAAAATCCACGATTTATGAGCAGCTCCGCATCATCGGCCACCCTGAAGAGTTTGAGTGAATTTGATGTTCAGGCGGCAGAGGATTTGCTGTTTACTTTACAGATTCCAGAATATAAGCCGGTAAGTCTTGGGGAGGTCCCATCTTCGCAGTAAGAAATTTTTAATAAATGTGTTTCCCCTTTCCAGGTCTCCAAATTCGATGTAGAGAATTTCAGCACTCTTCTGCTACCCTCTGTGGAAAATCGCCCTTTGGATGGTGATGCTTTGAATACCTTTAAAATGATGCTACTCGAAACTGGACCCAAAATGTTGGCCGAACACATTACCCGAATTGATATTGGCCTACTAATAGAAGCTCCCACAGCTTCGCTGGCCGAAGCGGAAACTCAAAATGCAAATGACAAACGTAACAATTTAGACTGCTGTGGCCTGGAGCTGCTGACCCTGCCCCAGGGTAAAATATTCCGCCAAGATTTAATTGAACGTACCCAATGCTTGAAGCTGATGGTGGCCGTTACCATTCTCACCTGTCAAACGGATTTGGATCGTGCCGAATTGCTTAGCAAATGGATACAAGTGGCAGTGGAAACTAAGACGGCATTGGGTAATCTCTTTGGATTCTCATCGATTATGCTGGGCCTGTGTATGCCTCAAATTCAAAAACTAGATTCCGCTTGGCATCTTTTGCGTCAAAAATATACCGATGATGCGTTTATGTTTGAGGCGAAACTCCGGCCCACATTGATTAGCATGAATGAATGTTCCAATCCTCAGGCACCCAATACAACAGTTCCTTATGTCCTGCTCTATGCTTTGCTGAAGGATCGTTCGGTAATGGATATTTTGAATTTCAACAGCTCGACAGAGAAATCGTCGCTATATACTATGTGTATCACATCGTGGGAGAGTAAGGCCGATGATTTTGGAATGTATATTAATTATGCCCATTTGGATTCGTCGCGGAATTTCTTGAATAGTCTGAAATTGTATCGAAAGAATGCCAAGATTATGTTGGAGGAATCGATATCGAGGATGGATGAGCTGTTAAGTGATGCGTTTAGGTAAGTGAAATGAAATCGGAAAACAAAAACTTCAGGGGAGGTTCTTATAGAAATTTTTAAGTAGAACTTCTAAAGGCTAGAAAAGTGGATTATCTATAGCCGAACTGAAGGGAAGCTCAATAGATATGTAGAGGGATGTATATATAGACGAGCTAAAGGGAGTCTATGAAGACGAGCCGAGCCGTTCTTAAAAAAGATTTCCTAGCGCGTCGGTCTTGTGCGCATTTCCTCCAATTTGAAAGACCACGTTCCAAGATGTTGTTTTTTACAGGAACCATCAATGGGCTCGCTTTTATAAGCCTTTTGAGCTGGGACATTCTCATTCATTCGCAGAACATGGCCTAGCCACCGTAGTCGCTGCAACTTAATACGTCTGACTATGTCGATGTCCGCGTATAAATTGTAAAGCTCGTTGTTCACTCGACGCCGATATTCCCGTCGACGCAGATCAGGCTATAGATCTTTCGGAGAATTTTTCTTTCAAACAGCCCAAGAGCTGCCTCATCTGCTTGCTTCAGAACCATATAACAGCACGGGTAGTATCAGCGTCTTGCGGAGTGTGAGTTTAGTCTGGCGGGAGGTGGCCTTGTTTCTAAACAGCTTACTTAGACCATAGTAGCATCGGTTGGCCATCACAATCCTTCTCCGAATTTCAAAACTGATGTCATTCGTTTTTGTTTATGGCGGTAAAAAGGTATATAAAATCTTTAACTACCTCGAAGCTGTAGTTCTCAAGTTCCACAGTTGGTCCGAGTCTACTGGACGTCTTGCGCGTTGATACCATCAGCTTGGTCTTCTCGCCGTTTACTGCCAGACCCACTTTGGTAGACTCCTTCTCAATTTGTTCAAAGGTGGCTGTTACCGCTCTCAGTGTTCGACCCATTATGTCGATGTCATCGGCGTAGGCTAGTAACATGTGTTGTTTGGTGTACAGAGTGCCATTTTTGTTCACATTTGCCTCTCGTATGACCTTTTCCAGCAGGATGTTTAAAATATCACACGACAAACTGTCACCTTGTCTGAATCCTCGTTCGGTATTAATGGGCTTCGAGAGGGCCTTTCCGACTTTAACTGCTGATCTTGCACCAGTTAATGTTATCCTGCATAGCCGTATTAATTTCGCAGGAATGCCAAACGCAAACATGGCTTTAAACACCTCTGAACGGATAGGGCTGTAGAATGCGGCTTTATAGTCGACGAGTGCGCAGCGAGAAAATCTGGTCAATGGTGGATTTGTCAGGTCTGAAGCCGCATTGGTATAGTCCAATAATGTCATTGACCATTGGCTTCAGTCGTTCACACAGTACGCTGGGAAGGAGACTTATTCCTCTAAAGTTGGCACATATGGTATTGTCTCCTTTTTTTGTGCACGGGACACAGGATGCTGATGTTCCAATCATTGGGCATACATTCCTCTAGCCAAATTATACTAATCAGCTGGTGCATGCTCCTTACCACCATCTAACCACCAGACTTGAATAGTTCCTTCCAGATCCTCAGCACGCTGTCTATATCTGTCACCAGGTTTCCTTCTTCATCTCTACAGGAGGATGTGCCTGCACCAAAGCCTTCGGTTTGGTTTTTTACCCGTTTAAGGACTTCATTCTGGCTCATGTACATCTCGATTTGCTCACGCTCACGGTTTTCTTTTTCTTTCTTCTTTTTTCTGAAAACACGATTCTTCTCTCTCCTTTTCTACCGATAATTCTCCATCACATTACGTGTTGCTGTTGTCTGCGGGGTTGCCCTGCGTTTTTCACATCACTAGCATTACGACACTCATGATCGTACCACGGATTTCTTGATGGTGGTTTTTGGTACCCAAGTGTTGCTTTTGCTGCAGTTTGTAAGGAGTGGGCAAATCTCTTCCATTGTGCTTCTATATGATTATCGGGACAAGGGGTGCTTTCGTCAAACAGTTGGGTAATTTGAGCGGAGTAGGCCTCTGCTACCTGTTGTGGTTGCAACTTTTCGACGTCGAGTTTCCGTGTTACATTAGATCGCACCTTTCCTGCTACATTAAGACGGGTGCGAACCTTGGCTGCCACAAGGTAATGGTCTGAATCGATATTTGCTCCTCGTATCGATCGAACGTCTAAACACACAAATTGACCATGTCCGTCTATCACAACATGATCAATTGGATTTCTCGTTGCTTGATCAGAAGAAATCCAGGTGGCCTTGTGTATATCGAGATGCTTGAATCTGGTGCTGCTAACTACCATGTTTTTGGCTGCCGCGAAGTCAATCAACCTCATACCGTTGTCTGATGTTTCTCATGGAGGCTGAATTTTCCGACGGTGGGGCCAAAGATATTTTCGCTTCTGATTTCTCCTAGCAGAATTTTAACGCCATGGCCAGAACAGCGATCATATGCTGTTTCTAGGCGCGCTCATAAAATATGTCTTTGGTCTGCTCATCTTTGTCTTCGGTTGGAGCATGGGAGCAAATAAGACTGATGTAGAAGAACTTCGCTTTTATACGGATTATAGCAATTCGCTCATCTACGGGAGTGAGGAGACGAGGTCTTTTATTCTCCTATTAACCATCAATTCGCAGCCAAATTCATGTCTCGTTTCATGGCAGCTATAATACAGTGCGTAATCGTCTGATTTACTTACGCCTGTCCCTTTCCATCGCATTTCCTGTAAGGCAATAATATCGGCTTTGTACTTCTTGAGCGCATCCGCCAAAGCGAAAACTGCGCCTTTTCTGTACAACGTGCGCACATACCAAGTGCAGATTCGCAGATCGTGGCCCTTTATATGTTTGCGGGGGTCGTCAACATTAAAACGGTTTGGTTTTCATTTTCTTTGCTTTTTCATATTAGGAGGGGTTTTTCGAGTGTGGGCAACTAACCCGACGCCTCAACCCATTTTTTATAGTTCTTATGGGAGAACACGCGGCACATATTAGCTCACTATTTCAACGGGTGATGAAAATAGCTACCACAGGTGACATCGCAGGGAGGTCAGTATCCACAATTGAGATGAAAGAGGGACCAACATAAGCCTGGACTCCGCCATGTTAGAGCCAATCAGAGCCGTTGCTTGGTATCCATCATCCCATAAGCCACCCACTCCTTATTTAGGTCCTTAAAAAAATATTATTTAAAAGATCCAGGCCTTCTATAGGTTCTTGGAAAAAATATTATTTAAAATATTCACGCCTTATATAGGTCCTTGAAAAAATATTCTTTAAAAAAACCACGCCTTGTGTAGGTCCTTCAAAAATCCACGCCATTTTTCAAAAAAATATATCTAATTTTTTTCTTGTTTTTGCAGAACCGAATTCCACATCAAATTCCTATGGGGTAGCAAGGGTGCCACAGCCACTGCCGATGATCGTCACTCGAAATTGGAGAAAGTTTTAGCCCTGATGGCGGATAAATTTTGTAATGCCGATTCGAATGGTTCAACAAACACTGCCTAAGAGAAATAAAATACTGCAGAAAAAAAGACACACCCACACCAAAGCAAAACCTTTTACAAAGGCTAAAAATTATTTATGGTATATATAGAATTATATAAGAATTACATATACATATAGATATTTTTTGTGTATAAAACAAAATTTTGATATGAAACAAGCAAAAAACAATTTTTGTACGGCCAAGGCTTAAAAACAAAATTACAGATAACAACAACTACAAATCAAAATTTAATATAGACCCCGACAACAATTTTAAAATAGTTTTTGTTTAGAATTTTGTTCAAATTATTTTGTTTTTGTTTTGTTGTAAAACCGATAAGAACTACCTCAAAATAATATGAAGAAGAAAAAAAGATTAAAAAATTCTGCTGAGCCAGCCCCCCAAAAAAAACACACACACAACCGAACATTATCTGTAATTGTAAACAAATGAGAAGGAGGATGGAAGATCAAGGGCGCCGTTTTGTTATAGCTTGTGGTGAATCAATATGGAGATTAGGGTAACAAAATATCATGGAGTTATCAGTGATTATGTGGGCACCTAACACCTCCTCCCTTGATCTTCATTCTTCTCTTCATTTGTTGAATCTACCATTCCATAAAATTAATAAAAAAACAAATATTCCCACATTGGCATGTAATTATTTAGATATTTAATTCATATCATTAGTTGATATATTTTGTTATATATTATTTATATATAAATTATTTATGAAATTAAGAAAACCAAATATTATTTATTTTTAATTCTAACAGCAAAACAATCTTTGCAAAGAAACCCACTTTTGTAAATTTATCTAATTTTTATCTATCATCAAATACTCATCTTCTGTTATAAATAGAACAATTTTCATATAGGGAAATATTTTTTTGTTTATGGAAAATTCAATAAAATTATTAAAACAAATTTATTTCTTATTTTTAATAAAAAAAAAAATACTTTTTTAAGGAATCCACGCTCTGCGCTGGTCAACAAAAAATGTTTTAGTGTTGGTCCTTTAAAAATATTGTTTAAAAAATCCACTCCTTGTGTTGGTCCTTTAAAAATATTGTTTAAAAAATCCACGCCTTGTGTTGGTCCTTTAAACTAATTCTTTAAAAAGTCCACACCAAGTTTTGGCCCTCACAATATCTATTTTAAAAAATTCACGCCACGCCCTGGTCTAAAAATTAATTTTTTATCGTTTATTAAAAATTCTCCATTTTTTAATCCATTTAAATTATTTATTTATTATTATTTATTTTTTTTTTTTTTGAATTCTCGCATAAACAAAATATTCCCCTTAATATGAATATAGTTCTCATTATATATAAACAAAACAAACGAACATATATACAACCCATATTATTTGTATCATAAAGACATACAATATATATTTACCTGTAATCATTAAATTTAAATTAAAATTTAAATTATATTTAAACAAATACACACATACATATATACTAAGTTGTTTTAAATATATATTTTTTTCTTACAACATTCCCAATTTGTTTTTTCAATTTTGTATATTTTTTATACAGAATTTTGTTGAAATTTAAATATACATATAAGTAATCTATTATTATCACTTTGATTAGGCTAGACATTTATATTTACTTATATTTATAATAAGACACAAATATTGAAAATATAAAAATAATAAATAAAAACAACATCTTATAAAAAGCAAAAAAAAAAAAACAATATAACTAAGATCCTTAAACACACCTATATAAAAATATTATACACAAACCAAAAAACATTGAAATTTTTGAAAGTGATTTGAAAACTAAATCTTAATAAGACACCAATTTTGAATGGAAATATAAAATTTCCATAGGGAAAAATTCAAAATTTTCAGAGATATAACATGAAAAAAATATTTTCCAAATCCCTGAGGAGTATCTATGAGTTTGAAACCAAATTTGTAAAGTTAATGAAAAATCAATTTTCTCTTAGCCCATTAAGGATATTCCCTTTCTTCCACACACACACACAAACATCAACCCTTACTATAAATATAAATATTTATCGACTTACTATTATTATGTTTTATATTGGACAATATTTAGTAATCAAACGCATTTACATAGCATTTTTACAATAAGCAAATAAAACACAAAAAAAACAATTTATAACGTAATAGATATAATGAAGTAAGAAGCAGCATACCAAAAACCAGAAAACAATATTTGTAATAAAGAAAATAAATAAAAATATCAATGCAATAAAACTTACCATTTTGTTGAAATCAATTGTTCGATAAAATGCAGAATAATTTTTTAAAGAAGTTCCCCTCTATTACTCCACGTTTGTTAAATTAAACATGTCTATCACACTACCGTTCTATGATGTAGTCAATCTCATTCTCTTTCTCTCTCTCTCTCTTATGACATCAACACACCACTTTGGAGGCAAGTTCGATCACACACTCGCCAAAAATAAAAGACATTAATATTGTTCTTATTTTTACTTTGTTATTTTCCAATGTTGTTGTTTTTTTTTAAATCACAAAACCTTTTATTATTTAATAAAATTTTAAATTTATATTTTAGCTTTCAATCCAAGCCGAATTATTATTTTTTACAATTTCTTATTCTTATTGGTCAACGTATGTTAAATTAAACATGTCTATCACAAAGCCGCTCTCACTCTCTCTCTCTCTTAAGAAATCACTTTGACAGCCAAGTGAATAAATTCAGAGGTTCTTCCACACATATATTTTCTTTATTTTTCAATGTTGTTTTTATTAATAAATTTAATTATACCACAATTTAATTATTCTTAATTTTATTAAATATTTCTCCAATTACTTTAATTATTATTTTTACTTAATAAATTCCCGATTAATTGTTTTCTTTCAATCACAAATGCCATTTTTCCTTGATAAAGCATTTCAAGTCTCTGTCATTCTCTCACACTGTTGTTCCCTGTGATCATCTCTCTGGCTCACATGCATGCACGAACGAACACACCACTCGCGAAATGTAAACAAAACAACGAAAAGGGCAACAACAATGCATAAGCATGTTTTTCTTTGATGCACCACAAATTCACATTGCAAAGTGATTAATTTAGAATTTTAATAACTTCCAGGGAATAAAATTTATTTGTTTCATGAAATATTTAATAAATAACACTCATCACACATATAATTGTTTTTTAATGTTTTAATTTTAACAATTTCTTTGAGCACGCAACCGAAATGCAGAACTGACCACAACGAGATGAAATGCGCGAACTGATTGATTAATGAATGTCACACAGACAGAGAGATGTCATCAATTAGAACGACAAGTGTTGATCAATGTTGTCTATGTTGCGGTTTTTACACGATTTAACGTGGATGTTTTTATTAAAGTAGGTTAATTTGATTGGATGACAGTTATTGTAGTGCAGACTGATTGATAAACAATTAATTGATTAAATATTTTAAAAATCGTTAGTAAATTTTAATTTATATATTTTTTACATGTTCTTTTATTATATTTTTAGGGAATGTACTTCATATATTATATAGATATACTTTATTTTATTAACACACTTCGCTTCGAAATTAAATTGTTATTTTGTTAAATAAAATGCACAAACTGATTGATTAATGTCAACCAGACAGGCAGATGTCATCAATTAGAACGACAAGTTTTGCTCAATGTTGTCCATGTAGCGGTTTTTAGACTACTTAAAAATGTTTTCCGATTTTTGGTTTTCCCAGAAAAAATATTTTGAAAAGTGAAGATTATTTTGTTTTTTTTTTTATTTAATAATAATTAAAAATTTTTCCATAAATATGAGTTACAGGGAGGAGTAGTTAAGGATATTTTTGTAATTAGCTGAAGGTTAATATTTAATAACTATATCGAAATTTGTTCAACATTTACATTTTTCGTATTCAAATATTTTATGAAAATACTGTTTTAAAAATCATGCCAATGTTTTTATTTATTCTTACAAAAACGCATTTCTGCTAAACTAAGCATGTCTCTTCAACCAATAGTTCTGTAAGTCAGCAATATACGTAGCTTACTTTTTAATGCACCATAAATTCACAGTGGATCTCAATAAATTATTAAATAATTTCTTATAAAAATTATTTGTTAATTTTACTAAATCATTAATAAAAAACACTTTTCAATAATTATAACAAATTTTTAGTATAAAATAAACTATGAATTACTTTATGCACACAATGGAAATGCAAAACCGAGCATGACCATGTAAAAAACGCGCACTGATTGATTGATTAATGACAGACATACAGGTTGACATCGGTTTTGTTAACAGTTATTGTAGTGATGTTAAAACTACATTGTTGATGTTTTTTTATTAAATTTATTTCATATTCACAATTTATATATATTTTAATGCTTTTAGTAAATTTTTTTATTAGTTTTAGTTTAGTTTTATTATATTACTTAAATATAATTTATTTTATTTGTATTAATTCATAATTTCCCACTGATTCTCAAAGGAATTTTCTCTCTTTGTTAAACCCCATCACAACCCCTTGCCTCTCACACCTGCATTTCTCTGAGATGCACTCTCACTTGTTCACTCAACTTATGACACTTTGGGAAAGCATGCTCAATTATATGGCTTGCAAAACAACAACAATGCATATGACTTTCTTTCCTTCAAAGCACCACAACAAATTCAAATTGGAAATTAATGCATTAAATAATAACTTTTGATAAATATTTTTTGTTAATATTATTAAATAGCAATTAATTAACATTTTACAATAAGTCAATAAACGAATTTGGTTTTTTAATTAAAAAAATAAACCACAACTTTTAGAACACAACCGAACGTAACGAGATAAAAAGTGCGCCCTGTTTGATTAATGTCAGACGGACAAGTGTCATCAATTAAAACAACAAGTGCTAATCAATCAGTGTTGCCCTATTTAGCGGTTTTTAATTAGTTCTTATTTAAAGGTAAAGCGTTTTAAAATAACATTTATCGTAGCAGAGGTTATGTTTTAAACAATTAATTTAATTAAATGTTAATGTTAAAAGCAAAAAATTGTCATTTAATTTATTAGGGGAGAATATCAGCTTAGAAAGAGTTGGAAAACTTACTTTTTTGGGCCAAATAATAAGGAAATTAAGGCTTAAATGCACTTTACGGACACCTCTCAGATCATTTTGAAATGTTTATCATAGGTAGTCCTTCTGATGCTGATTACAGCAACATACGTTTTTTCGGGGGGAAATCAGTACTTCCCGAGATATGGGGTTCCAAAGTTCAAAAAATACCCCCACTTTTTATTGAACATATTTAAGAATACCACTCCGATACGTTTATTTTTTACAGCACATAGTCCTTTTGGAGCTGATTACAACCACATAATTTTTTTGGGGGAAACTTCGTACTTCCGGATATATAGGAGAATGTCTTAAATCCCCGGCCGGCTATTTAGAAAAAATTGAATTTAAAAGAGAATTCTGCTCGCGTAGCCCAATTTTCCACCTGTCCATAGGAGAAAGTCTTAAATCCCCGGCCGAAGGCCGGCTATTCAGAAAAAATTGAAATTTAAAGACAATTTTGTTCTCATAACTCAATTTGTTGTCGGATAATAAGTAAGGGTATGAAATGTAGGTTTTTATTACATTTTGATACTCCATATTTCCGGAAGTACGAAGTTCTCACCAAAAAAAAAAAAAATTATGTGGTTGTAATCAGCTTCAAAAGGACTATGTGCTGTAAAAAATTTAAACGTTTCGGAGTGGTATTCTTAAATATATTTAATAAAAAGTGGGGGTATTTTTTGAACTTTGGCCCTTGGGAAGTACTGATTTCCCCCCGAAAAAATGTATGTTGCTATAATCGGCATCAGAAGGGCTACCTATGGTAAAAATTTCAAAATTATCTGAGAGGTGTCCGTAAAGTGCATTTGTTCCGAAATTAAAACAAAATATATTTAATGAGGCCACGCCTTATGTGGGCCCTTAAAAATATTTTTTAATAAATTTACGCCTTGTTTTGGCCCTTAAAAATATTTTTTAATAAAACCAAGCCTTCTTAAGTCCTTAAAAAAAGTTTTAATAAAACCAAGCCTTCTTAATTCATTAAAAAAAGTTTTAAGTTAGTTAAATTTATCCTTAAAAAATATGTTCTAATAAAACATGGGAGTTAACATTTTTTAATTCAGACGTTATTATTTTTATTTTATAATTATTTAATAAAATTCCTTAATTAATAACAAAAACAATTAATACAAATGGTATTTCATTAGACCCTCTGCTCTTGAGGCTTGGCATCCAATTGTGCGGTGTCATCAAGTGTAATATACGGTTTACTATTCACATCTGCACGATTGGTTTGCTGATATTCAATCAAGACCAAAGAGTTACGTCCTTTATGTAAAATCTCCTGAGGAACATATAGAGTTATTTGGGGCCCTGCCACTGGCCAATAACGACCAATATTAAAACCATTTACAAAGGCAACACCTTTACCCCAGCCCGTGGGATTCAAATAGGTGTGATGTTCTTGAGTGACAATAAATTCCCCATAATAAATAATTGGGCCATGATCTAGCACACCACTTGTGTCATTTTCCATAAATGTCAAACTATTATTTTGCACCCCCGTCCAGATATCTGTAACCTCGGGTTCCTCCAAGGGAAAAGCGGTATTCAACCAATCGTTTAGTATTAAAACCTTATCGGCATTGAGGGGTTGTATAGTCACAGCTCCCAGTATACCCTTGGTATCATTGGCAATGTCGAAATTAATGCGTCCCTGATTCTCTACAAGCAGCTGCAGTTTGGAATCTCTCAAATCATTTAAGGTTAGGGAATATTTGGCATTTTGCCTGGATAAAATACCCTTAAATTGTTGATCAATATAAACCAAGGCACGATCTCTCAAATCGTTCAAAGTCAAAACATATGACTGACCCGCCACAATACCACTTAGATTTGTTTCATAGAGTATCAGTCCCGAATATTGATCCAATTCTTCAAAGGTCATGGGTTTTAGAGAGCTACGAGTTTTGCCCTTGGCCAAAATGGCCCGGGCCTCTGATGATAGTAAATTCATAACGGGTGACATTTCAACCCGACCATAGGCAAATGCTTGTTCTTGGATCACCTCAACTTTGGGTATTTCTCGGAATTCTTTAATGACATCGCGTATCATTTCGTATTTCTTCGTTACATTGCCCATTTCATCCATAACGGCATCATAATCATAGGAGGTTATGTCGGGGGTATATTTCGTGTCACCAAAATTATTGGCACCGGCAGTGAAACCAAAATTGGTGCCACCAAAGAACATGTAGAAATTGACATTGACCTTGGCTTCGAGGAGTTTTCTGAAAAGGAAGAACAATTTATAAAAACTTATATTTCAAATTAGGTTTGTAAACTAACCTAAAACCTTCAGCCACCAATTTGGGATCCCGCCTTTGATTTTCCTCCTGCCAATGGGTCAACCAACCAGGATAGAATTCTGAATTTACCAAAGGTCCAGTCGGCTGTACCGATCTCAAGATCTTCCACAAATTATCCATTTCAACAACTGAAAATTAAAACCAAAATAAAAATTAATAATATTCCAAATTTTAATGCCTCCCTATTTACCCCTTTCAAATCCAAAATCCGTTGTGGCAAACACGCCCTCAATTTTACCACACTTTATGCGATCATTTGGTATATCCGTTGTAAACAGCAGTGCCTTATCATGAACATATTTCAAGGTCTCATCCCTTAGCCAATTTAAATAGTCATGATCACAAGCATGGAATGCCCCATATTCATTTTCCACCTGCACCATTATAATGGGACCTCCATTGCCGCGTAGGAAACGTTCCATGCGTGGCATTAATTTGGAATACCAAACCGCAACTTCGTGTGTGTAATTGGCATCATTGGTACGCAATTGTATGCCGGGGTATTTGGTAAACAGCCAATGGGGTAGGCCACCCTAGAAAATAAAAAATAAAAGAAAGTGAGGTTAGAATGAGAAGCCAAAAAGAAAAAAATTACTGGGTCTGATTTTTAGACATTTTTAAAGGAGTAGGCTTGGATTTTTAGGATTTTTTTCAGGACAAAAGCCAGTTTTTAAATTATTTTTTCAAGAACCAAAGTCAGCCTTTTTAGGTTTTTTCTGAAGAACCTGTGGAACCTTAGGTGTGGGTTTATAGGAATATTTTTTGATAACAAGCAGAGCCTTAGGCGTTGATTTTTTAAGATTTTTTTCAATGACCAAAATCGATTTTTTCTAATAATATTTTTTTTTTCAAGGACCAAAGGCAGCCTTAGGCGTGGGAATTTCTTTGGGAATTTTTTCAAGGACCAAAGTAGGCTTTTTTTAAGAACTATTTTTTCAAAAAACCAAAGACAGTCTTTTTCGGATTTTTTGAATAAGCCTTAGGCGTGGATTTTTAAGGAATATTTTTCGACGACAAAAGTCATCTTTTTTAAATTATTTTTTTGAGGACCATAGGTACGTTTTTTGGGATTTTTTTGAAGGAACTGTGGAGCCCTAAGAAGCCTTAGGCCTGTTTTTTTTAATAATTTCTTTCAAAGACCGAATACAACCTAAGGAGTTGATTTTTTAGGATTTTTTTTTTAAGTGTCAAAATCGGTTTTTTCTATGTTTTATTTTTATAAGGACCAAATTCAGCCCTTTTTTATTGAAGGACCCATGGAGCCTTAGGCGTGACTTTTTCTAGGAATATTTTTCGAGAACCAAAGCCAGATTATAATTAAAAAAATTTTATTTTCCAAGGACCAAAGGCCGAATTTTAAGATTTTTCAAAGCTATTTTGTACGTTCTTTTTCAAGGAACAAAGTCAAAAATTTCTGAATTTGAAATTTCATCTTTTTTTAATTATTTTTTTTTTCAAGACAAAAGACAGCCTTTTCTGGGATTTTTTCAAGGATCTTTGGAGCCCTCGGCTTTGATATTTTTAATAATGTGTTCAAGTACCCGTGAAGCCTTGGTCCTGGATTCTATAAACTTATTATTTCAAGAACGTTTGAAACCTTAAACCTATATATTTTACTCACATTATCCCTTTCAGCACATATATAGGGACCTGGCCTTAAAATCACATAGAATCCCTCGGCCTGGGCCAATTCCAAAAACCTCTCCACATTGGCAATCTTCGACCATTCATATACACCATCATGGGGATTGTGTAGAGACCATTCGACATAACTGAAAAGGTGTTCATGTAATTAAAATAATTTCCTATTTGAATTATGTTTTACTTACGTATCAATTACATTCAAACCAGCTGCCTTCATTGTCCTCAAACGTTTTTGCCATGCCCTGGGATGGGCGCGGAAATAATGAAATGATCCAGAAATATATTGAAATGGTTCGCCATCCAGCAGAAATGTGTTCGCCACATGATCAACTGTAAAACTGGGCTTCTTCAGGACTTCCTGGAAGATAATCAAAAAAATTAAAAAAATATGAAATAAATATGGAAAGGAATAATGATGAAAAATATTTGAAAATATAATTTATTTATTAAATAAATAAAATATAAGAAGTGGAAATCATTAAAAAACAGAAAAAAGACGCTTGGAAAAATACTTCTTGGGAAACTAGGCCTTTTCTTTAAGGAGCAACCTGAATAAAATATATATTGACCTGTGGAAAATTTCTCCTCGATTCTAAAACGATAACATTTTAATAGCAGACAGTATTCTTAAGAATTCAGTCATAATGGTACCTTCGAGGGGAATTATTTAAAGCGATTTGAATAGTATATGACCCAAAACTCTAGCACTCCAAAACTGTTTTAAAAACTCCCAAATTTGTTGTTTTTAAATACATTTTTTCAAGACCCCCCAAGACCATTGTCTCCATGCACCTAGATTATTCACCTGCTAGACGTTTCTAAATCAAGTGCCTTGTTTTGTTTCTTGTTGTCTCTAGTTTGTGTTTTGATGGCCAATATCGCCCCATCAGGGCCAATTATCTTATCATCACTGCATTTGGGGTAGCAAATACTCAAAAACGTCATCTGAAAATAATAATAAAGAGTTAATTGCTGCAATTTACTGTCAAACCCTAAAAGGAGATTACCTTGTTAAAACCCAAGAAACATTTCAAAATTTATAAATCAAATAAAAGGCTATAAAAATTCTAAATCCACAGGTGTTTATACAAAGAAAAATAAATTGTCCGAGATTTTATATGAGCCGTAGCAGGATTACTAGAAAAATCGAAAAGTTTGTAAAATGTAAAAATATTGGTGTATGGAGGTCTTCCATAGGATGAAATACCTTTGAGAAGTCACCTAAAGGCCTTCAGGTGGACTCTATAGAACACAGGATATTTGGAAGAAAATTTTTAAAGTATCAAGGACTAAACAAGTACCTATGAAGACGTGGTTTTTTAAAGACTTTTTCTCAAGAATTTTTTAATTTCCAAAAAAAAAATTAACAAACGAGAATTTTTTTAAAGAATTTTTGAAGCCTTCGAGTTATTTAAAAACGTGAATTGTTTTAAAGAATTTTTCAAGCCTTGAGTTTTTAAAAAATATTTCAAAACGTGGATTTTTTTACAGAATTTTTCCACCCTTTCGATTTTTTAAAAAAAAATTATTTCAAAACGCGATTTTTTTTTAAGAATTTTTCAAGCTATAGAATTTTAAAAAATATTTCAAAACGCGGATTTTTAAAGAATTTTTTCAAAACGCGGATATTTTAAAGAATCACCAAGAAATTTAATGAACGATCGTGTGTTCTTGGAATCCGCCACTACTCATTAAATCGATGCGGATCTAAATACTTATCACTTTTATCGTCAAAGGCCCACTACGGTTTTTTAAATTGTGGATCAAAATATTTTTCACTTTTATCACCAAAGGTTCACGACAATCCCTTGAATCGATGCGTATTTCTTATTGGCAAAGATCTACGACGGTTCTTTGATTAGTTGCAGATTAGACTGTTTATCAATTTTATTATCACAGTCGGATTTAGATATTTATCACTGGTACTTTAACAAAGGACACGACGGATATTTAAATCGATTGCGGATCGATATATTTATCACTAAAGGTACACGTCTATAAGTAGAAGATATTTCACATACGTTTTCTTATTTACAAACATTCTTTCATAATTGGGATATATATTGAAGATTTTTAGAGATTCCATAGAAGGTAAACCTTTAAAAGGTTTTCCAACTGTTATATATTCTCCTATAAATCGAAGATATCTAGATCTCTATCTAATAATTTGTAATTTGCAATATCAACTTTGATGGTTCGATTCTTCTTCCCAACTTTTCATATTATCTTGTAGCATAAATTATGAAATCGCAAACAAACTTCGTCGTAGGCACTTTTGATTCACATACAAAATATTCTTTCCTGTGTTAAATTTTCAAAAAGTTATTCCGACTTTCGAAACTTAACTATGAATTCATTTGCCTACCATATTTTGTTATGATTTGATTGCACTTATTTTTAAATCGAAAACAAATAATTTATGGAAATCTCTTTATGACATTGAGATTCCGATAGCAAACGAAAAAAATCCGCACACAAGACAACCGCACTTTACACTACAAACACTATTTGCAAACTAGCTATTTAAAAAACAGATATAAATTTCACGGCCTAGTTTCTCAAAACGGCCTGCTTGGCTACTTCGTCCAAACTGTTCGTCCTCCACTTACTTCATCTGCCCCGGTATAACGTAAAATAAAACTGCCGAGGATGACAACAATTAATGCCGCCGCTAGACCAGACACCACCATGGTTACAACGTCTCTGCATTGGACTTTCATATTGACATCGAAAGCGAAACACTCTTTCAATGGCTTAGTAGCAAGAAGAAGAAGAAAAGCTTTAAACTTAGTTAATTAATGCGAAGCTTAAATTGTGTGTTTAGTTTGTCTAGCTTCTAGTTATGGCTTCTTCAGAAATCGTTATAGGAAATCTCGCACACACACACGCGCACTAATGAAATATCACACAATACAATAAGTTCATGTGAGCTTAGTGGCCCCCGGAGGTTAACTGCCGTGTTTAAAATGTTCAATTACAAAGTGACTACTAAAGCGATTTTTGGTTCGTAAGACCTCTACTAAATCAAAGTCAACTTCTATATTAAGAATACTCATTTTTGTATTGGTTATTGTTTTGTTTTTTTTTTTCTGTTTCTTTCTGAAGATACTTGAAGTGTGCACTTATTAGGAGTATTATGGGTACTAAACTTGGAATACTGATAAGATAGGTGGATAGAGAGAGACAATTGAAAATAAAAATCAAAACAATGCAACATCTTTGCGATACACCTGCAAAAAATGTCATAAACAAAAACAAAAATTTTTACCCTGAAAAATACTTCCTTAGATTACACTTACCAGCCCAATGGCTGGTTTTAAAGGTAACAAATTACTGGAAGCAACTAGACCTTTAAACCTAATCAAAACTACTACAAAGCAGAATAGCCTTGAGTGACCATACCAGAGTCGTCGGTTTTCCAAAGTATTGCATGCTTCTATTACACCATCATAAGGAATTTGCCTAATTTGATAATACTGAATATATTTTATAACGTATCGCTACTTGGGCAACATCTTATGAATCACATAGGGTCCCTTGAATTTAGTCAATAACTTCTTGTGGTACAGTTCACATTCCGAATCACCTCAAATCAGTTAACCACCACCTATTTCTCTTTAGCCCTTTTTACAATATAATCTTGCGATCTAGCTATAGCGTCTTAAGCCTTGCTAATAAATCGGAGCTTGATGAAATACTGAGATGCGGATTTTGAAATTGCCATGCAGGGTTCGAGCTGTGGGAGAGTTGTTGTTGTATAAACTATATGCATATTTGTTGTACTTAATTCCGGACATATGAGTGGGATTAGGAGGTTGGTTGAAAAGAAGCAGCGTATCGTGAGGTTGTAGTCCAAATGCAGGGCATGTGTCTGATATCGTGTTGTCAACTCGGGCCCAATACGAATTGAGGTGGCTGTACCAACTTCACTCTCGTTTATCTAAACAATTGCATTTTACTGCTACTATATCTAGGGGTTCTCTAATGTACCGTTTGACCTATTTACATCCATATTGTTGTATCGATGTAAGGGCAAGACAATCGCCGCTTTAGGTTAGATTAAATTATGTACAACAACTATTAGCAGCCATATCACTCGGAAACATTTGTCCATTATGCTCATCCTAGTTACCATAAAAAAGAGGGTAAGAAAAAAGCGGAAGGGAGTGCAATTGAAGTTATAGAGTTTAGAAGTTTAGCCATGTCAGGATTTTAACACAGCTAAAGATCTTTTTGGGATCTATTCCGGAGAAGAATCTTAGAGTGTCAAATTCATATTTGCCAAACAGTCGAAGTCTTTTGCTACTTAGCGATGAACATCTACAGAGTATATGTTCAATTGTTTCCAGCTCTTCCTCATCCTCACATAAGCGGCAATAATCCACTTCATTAATATCCCATTTGGAAGTGCGTGATCTAATCCTTCAGTGGTTCTTATCTCTACTATGAGACAGCAGTAGATTAGTTGTACGAAGTGAGGACTCAGATCAGATAGTTTTCCTGCCTCCAGGTGCGCTAAGGGGAGATTTATGGTTACTCCACGCAGAGATTGCAGACAGAAGTTTGAGATCTTACGCTTCTTAGTGAAGAGTACCATTTCTGCCTTCGTGTGGTTTACTCCAAGACAATTGACCTGGGTTTTGGTTACTCCTCCCCGACGTTGCAGACGGAAATTTGGAATCATACGTTTCTTAGCGAAGAGTACAATTTCTGTGTTCGTGGGGTTTACTCCAACACCATTGGCCTGGGACCAACTGGACAAAATTGATAGGGCACCCTGTGTATCAAAAATAGTAGGCAGAAATTTTCCAATGACTAACAAGACTACAACTTCGGCATAGGCTACAACCTTTATCTTAAGATGATCAATTTCATCTGTATCTAATGTATGACAAGAAGCCATTGTATAGGATATATTACTCCCTGCTGTGGTGTTCCTCTTTTGACAGATTTCCTTACGGAACTCTCTCCAATAAATGAATAGATAATTCTGCTTTCCAGCATTCTATCAATCTATTCCGTTATGAGAGAAGAGGCATCTGAGCATTCCAGAGCAAAATAGATAGCTTCCTACTTAACAATATCGAAGGGTCCTTCCATATCAAGGAAAACAAGCAATGTGTAACCGGAATTCTCCATATTCTTATCGATTTGTCCGACCACCTCGTGTAAGGCAGGTTCCACAGATTTGTCTTTGATGTAGGATTTGTTCGAAATTATGTTTGTCCTAATTTCGAGGTCTAGTGACCTTTCTTGTGTCTTGAGTAGAAAGGAAGAGATGCTAATCGGTCTACAGACAGTCGTCCATGTTAGTGAGGGTTATGTCGATGACTTCACGTCTCAATCTATTAACGAACGTTGCTGTATTGCCTCTATTACATATTCTAAGATTATAACTAAGTATAAAATAAAAAAATGGACTCGCCTCTTGGATTGGTGTCACTGCTTCTCCAGAGGAAGTGATGTGCATTGTCATCACATCTAATGATTATGTCACCAGTGCTGCTCATTGCCTCCAATACATAGCTTACCTCAGATCCGAGTGAGTATTAGGAGCCTCGAGTTACCCCTACCTAGTCTGACTGTCGTCATATCAGCGCGATGCGGTATTCGAGGAAGAGAGGGTGAGAATCAGCTCAGTAGCTGCTGCTGCTCTACAGTGATGCATATTTATCTGAACCACATTTAGCGCTTGATGCCATATGTTTCTTGTTTTATTGGCGAGAGACGGAATTGAAGTTTCCTCATCCCATAAAACAATTCACCCTTGTTCCTCCTCAAGTACTGTTCTCCAGCAGTATCGGTAGCGAACTTTGCGACAAGACCGCCGAGGTGAAGATCTTCTACTTCCTCATCTGAAGTCCATCGCTCTGCTTTTCCACTATTCCCTTAAAAGAAAATACCTCAACAAAATGAAGCCTAATTTGCCGATATATTTGCTGCTATTCTGCTGCCAGCGATGACGGGTAATTTCTCCGTATTCTTGAATTATGTCCTCAACTCCATCTCTGTGAATTTAATTTAATCATGTTGATCTGTAAGAATTGTGTCTCGCTTTATAGGTTGGTTTCCAACAAGGCTTCATGACCTGTTCCTCAAATATTGCCCCGGATCGTGATCAAACTATTTGTAAAGGCTATCAAATATGACTCCCAGAGACTTGGGATGTTTGTAGGGTAGATGCATTGATTTCGTGTCGCTGCCATAGTCTTGACAAAGTCAGTTATTTCATTTGAAGATCTGAAACTCATTTGCCACATCTGCTATTCAGTTGAGCCGTAGAGATTCATTCCGTTAGGATTATATAGAGTCTTGTAATTTCGTTCCACTCGTAGACTTATGGTCCACCATTGTGATCTTCTTAAAAGATTTTGTAAAAATAGAAAAGATAAAATGTGAAGGGAGAGGTAGGGGTTAGGGTTTGTATCCCAGCCAGGGAGAAGGTAGGGGTTAGGGTTTATAACCCAGCCATGATAAATTTTTGGACAAAGTTGTAAATAAAATTGGGAACTCACCTGTCCATAAAAATCACAAATTAGGGAGAGGTAGGGGTTAGGGTTTGTTACCCAGCCATGATAAATTTTTGGACAAAGTTGTAAATAAAATTGGGAACTCACCTGTCCATAAAAATCACAAATTAGGGAGAGGTAGGGGTTAGGGTTTGTTACCCAGCCATGATAAATTTTTGGACAAAGTTGTAAATAAAATTGGGAACTCACCTCTCCACAAAAATCACAAATTAGGGAGAGGTAGGGATTAGGGTTTGTATCCCAGCCAGGGAGAAGGTAGGGGTTAGAGTTTGTAACCCAGCCATGATAAATTTTTGGACAAAGTTGTAAATAAAATTGGGAACTCACCTGTCCACAAAAATCACAAATTAGGGAGAGGTAGGGATTAGGGTTTGTATCCCAGCCAGGGAGAAGGTAGGGGTTAGAGTTTGTAACCCAGCCATGATAAATTTTTGGACAAAGTTGTAAATAAAATTGGGAACTCTCTCACCTGTCCACAAAACTTAGATGCCTTCTGTTTATAAACACGGCGCATCGACAGAGCCGATGTTCGATCATTTCCAACCAAACCCAACAACGCCTACGGCACATTCTGCCAATGCCACTGCTCCGCAAATTAGACCCACCATGGGAGAACAGAGGAGGGAATTTAATTTAGTGCCTTTTATGAAAGCCAAAATGGGTTAGGTGTCGAAGGATTCATCTATCGATTAGAATACTACCAAAAATATGATATCCCATGGACAGAAAACATACGAGATTTTTCACTGCTATTGTCAGAGCTGAATCATGGTACTGTTATTCCAAAAGACCCATAGAGTCCGCGATTGGGATCAATTAAAATACAGTCTCTTAGGCCAATATCAGTCGACATGGTCCAATTTTGAAATCCTCACTGATCTGGCACAAAGGAAATGAGGAAGATGAGGTGAGTGGTGTTGCATGAGGGGGGTCATCCAAAAAGGACATGGAAAGTATGATCATGGTTGGGTGGTCGGCTACCTCGGCCTCCAAGCCGGTCTGCTAATGATGTGATGGGTGTAAGTGTTCGAAGTAAATTTGTAGTATCCATTAGTCTCGTTGTTTGCATTCCTGAGCCAGAGATGTCAGGATGAATCTGCCCTAAGAGAGTGGACGGGGTTGGCCGGAATGAATTTGGATATCTCCGTAAGTAGCCGTAA